CAATATATCAGTTTATCCGAGAACGTAACACAAATATTTTAGTTAATTTATACAAACAAATAAAATTGAAGTATCTGTTTGTAAAGTCAAAACAACAACTTTTTACAAAATTCATACGAAATTATATACGGAACTTATAAGAAAAACACAATTATTAAAAATTTTGTTTGTCTGTCTGTCAGAATTAGAAACTAACTTAGTTCAAAAAATTAAAGTAACGTCAAACATATCCAAAAATAAAAGGCATGTAAAACAAGCTTTTAGATTTGATTAAATGTTATTAGATTTTGCAACAGTATTTTACAGTGAACTCTTGTCGTTGAATATTCATGTTGATCACAAAAAATCTCTATTTGACAATAACACAGATGTTTACAGATCGTATTCCATATAAACAAATATTTATAATTTTAATCTGTATGTAAAAATTACATACTAGTAAAACCCGCGGCTTCGCTCGCGCTTAAACTTCAAAATAACTCTAAAAAGGTAGTTTTCATACAAACTTTCATCTCCTATTTTTACCCCTTATGGGATGAATTTAGATAAATGCTGAAACACGTATTTATTTAATTGTATTGAAGAGCATTAATGCCAAGTTTGAAGTAATTCTGATGATAAATAATTTTTTGGGTTGTATTATAACGTGTTTTCCCGCAGGAATGAGATAATCTTCCGCGGTAAAAAGATATGTCACTCTCCAGCCCTCCAACTATCTCCACACAAAAAATCATGCCAATCCGTCACTCCCTTTCGACGTAAAAGAAGAACAAACAAACAAACAAACAAACAAACAAACAAACAAACAAACAAACAAACAAACAAACAAACAAACAAACAAACAAACAAACAAACACACTTTCACATTTATAATATTAGTATGGATTTAGTTAAGCTTTGTACTACTTCTAGACATAACATGTAAAATTTGAACTAAACTTTAAGATATAATCATGAACGAATTAGCCACATTCGTTCATGGATATAATATGTCAATGAAAATTGACAGAGGGATTGCTATAGTATTTCACTTGTCCTTAAATACTAAATTGTGTTTGCAAAGTCCACAATATATATGTACTCGTATGTATCTCCGTAGTTTATGAATATTTCAAGTTTTACGTTCAAATGATCCCCATTCTTAGCATTCTGGAGTAGAAATGAAAAATTTATAGCATCGTCTTATCCATCTTTCGTCTGCATCTCGTTTGTATATATACTTCCACTTTCTAGTTTTCGACTTATGTAAATGAAGTTTTGCAAGTAGACTTTTCAAAAGGTAAACTTTGTTAAATATATTGTATATACGAGTATGTAGCTAAAAGATTTTTCTTGTTGGTTCTGTAAAAGAGCCACCATAGTTTTATTATTATCTGATTTTGCATTTTGCTCTGCACCCTGACTCGCTTAGGGATAAGGATGGTCATACCTACGCAATCTTACTGTTGTGTATTATGACTAATGTTTGTTACTTCTTCACGATGAAACGGCTGGACTGATTTGGATGAAATTTAGTATATAGATAGACTATGACCTAGAATAACACATAGGCACTTTTAGCCACCTACTGATATACATACTTTTAAGCGTCCAGGGACAGATCTTAACGTAGCAAGGTTAAATCGCTAGTAACATAAATACCTAACTACCTACATCATATACACTTATTATTATATTTGAAAAAAAGTTTAACAAAACTAATTGGTATCCTCATTATTTACACAATCACTGCAGAAAGGTATGATATGCTCATGGCAAATATATTTGTCACAGCCTCGACATGTTTGTTTCGTTTTGCGATCCTTTTTTGCTGGGCATATTTGGCATCTTTTGCGGGCATTTAGTATTTTAGCAGGAGGCTTTTCAGATAAATCACCAGTAAACTCCCGGATTCTCTTACGCATTTATTGCCTTCTTCTGAATCAGATTCCTCAAGAATTGCCAAAATTCATTGGCTCTCTCTATCCATGTTCCTCAAGAATTGACAAAATTCGTTAGCTCTCTCTATCCATGTTTCTAACTACTTTGAAGCACGGAAAAACTAATAATATCAAAATAATAAGAAAAAACTTAAATAAACACCAAAAAACAAAATTAAGTAATAAAAAATCATACAAAAACAAGGTGCAAAATTGTAACGCTAATTGTGAGCATGGGTCAAATTTACCTTTTTGTCAAATGCACGCGTGTAGCTCCCAGCGTGGTCACCGCTCGACTGATTTCTTTTTAAAAACTTTTAGAACACTGCGTTGGGTCCAGCTACTGAGAAGAATGGAAACGTCGCGCGCGCACATAAAAAAGTATACGCATTCTAAAACACACTTTTTTTAACGTTGGGAAATGCATTTACGCACGAGGTGTGGGACTCACTACTACCCACACTACTACTCAGTACTACCCACTAAAACCGAACAAAACCTTCCCCCGTCTTAATGGGGCGTCGCAGGATCGCTTACGCATTCAACTACGACGCCCCGACGGCAGGTCTGCCGAAGCAGACCACCACAACCATGGGGTTGCTCCAAGGTCCACTCTGCTATCAGAGAAGTACCAGGAGCAACCCGCATGGTACACCGCCCCCCGAAAAGGGGCCACCTCCCACCGCCCACCGAAGTGGGCCACCTCCCTGTGCGTTTCTTAGCTTCGCGCCCGGTTGGATTGCCGGGCACTACTGAGCTCCCCCACCACGACAAGGTGAACGCACGTTGGGGGGGACACTGGGTCTTCCTGACTCAACCTCAATGACGCCGGGTTAAATTGACTGATTGACATGCCTTATATTGACAAACATGATGTCTTTAATTTCAATGTTAAATGTTTTCATTTTAAATAAAACTATCTTTTCGGATTTTGTCGCGGATTTATTTGTATTTTTGTTTCCCGACGTTTCGAATGCTTTACAGCATCCATGGTCACGGGAGAGACTGAGGTGTTACATGTCTTAAAGATATAGTTGTTACAGACAGCCTACCCACAATTAACAAAATGAAAATTGCACCAATTACATTACAATCTTTTAACTTTAAATATTTTTATAATTTTAATTATAATTGAATATGGAAAATTATTTATTTAATTTATGCTATTATTTTTATAATTATTACAATTTTAAAAATATTAATTAGCAATCTATATTTAGTGTTGCCATTATTATATTTATAACCATAAGAAAAATATAAAATATAGTATTAATTATTTAAGCCACAATTGATCTATGTGTAATTTGAAAAAGTTAAGATTAATTAAAAAATAATAATTTTAATTTAAATTTGCTATTATTTAAAAACAAATTATTAAGCGACACATTACTACATACATTTACAAATAAAAAATGAAAATGTTTTCAATTGTTAAATGTTTTTATTTTTCTTTACTTATTTTTATGATAATTTTCAACGGACTTCAAAAAGGAGGAGGTTCTCAATTCGACTGTTTATTTTTATGTTTGTTACCTCAGAACTCCGTCATTTATTAACCGATTTAGACAATTTTTGTGTTGTTTGAAAGTGTATACTTCCAGATTGGTCCCATTTAAATTTCAAAAAAAAAATACCATCCCTAAGGGTGGAAAAATAGCTAATGATGAATTTAACCTACTTCTAATTGTCAAATTGACTTGAAACTTTGCAAGTGTTTCTATTTCCGTTGATAGTACAGTGGTTTGGTATTGTTGACCTGATCTGATGGTAAGGCCAGAAGGTCGATAAGTGGAACTCTTGAACGGCTAATAGTAAATACTTTGAGTTTGGGCTTATTTTGTTTGATTTAACAAGCCTAACACGTTAGAATTCTTACTTTGCTACTACTGTCTACACTAAAAAGGGAAAAATAAAAACTTTTTAACAAAAACTAAAAACCGACTTCAAACAAAAGCACTAAAAAGTAAAAAATAACTGATTGGTAGTTTTCATTTACCATACATACCTAATCAAATATATTTCGAAGTCGGTGTGCTTTGGCTAAGTAATTAAAGCCTACCTATTAAATACATACCTAAAAAAATATTTTCGAAATCGGTGCCAGCCCATACAAAGCAAAGCTCACCAACTTCGAAAATATTTGATTAGGTATGTATAGTAAATGAAAACTACCAATCAGTTATTTTTTACTTTTTAGTGCTTTTGTTTAAAGTCGGTTTTTATTTTTTTGTTAATTTTTAAAAAATATTTCATGTACAGATTTTGCTAAGTTACTATTTTATTATATGCAAAAATAAATTAACATATTTCAATAAAATGTTATCTACTGACAGAATATCAGTTATTAGGGTAAATAAATCACGTTTTTATAAATTACAGTATTCTGTGTGCGTCTTCACGCACTTGTGTTTATGTTATTGCAGTTAAAAACACAATAATAATTATTATTATATTCATAAGTAACATCGTATAAAACTAACGAAGTTGATATTAACTGTAAACAATCCCAACCTTATAGGTTCACTCGTCGATCGAGCTGGCATAAAAAAACGCACTACAATTTCTATATGCAAATTCGGTCTAGTTGTTTACAAATATAATATTGATATTGTCTAAAACAAATAACATCGTGCAATCAAATATAAATTCATGAGATATACATCTACGTATAAAATATTAAGCTAGAAGTTAAACTGAGCATCGAAATGTCGATGATATGCATACAATATAAGCAGAAAACAACATATTAACTTTATCAGTATTCTGTAATTATATTAAAGCTTAAAGGAAATTATTTATAAATACAAATCAGCCGCTGCAATAAACAAACTTAACAACTATTCTAAAATCCTCTTAATGTAATATCTCCATCTTCATCATTTTTTAATAACAAGAATATTCAATAATTAAAACTTAACACTCAATATTTTTAAATTAATTAGTGTGCCCCAAATAACGTATATGTATCCTCGTATACGCTATTTTTAATTACATAACAACAATGATTGATGAACATATTATATATTATAAAAATGAAGTGTATAAACTATAAAGCATAAAAATACAGGGAAAATAAATTACCTTTTAATAGAAGAAGAAAAATTAATATCCTCTGCAAGCTTTCTAAACTTTTGGAAATCATGTTGGAAAAACTAGTTTAAATGTTTTAATAAAACGTAATTACTCAACACGTTAACTGGTCTCCCGTCACTTTCACAACACAACATTCACTCTATCAGCCAGTTAGAGATTAAACTGTTTCGTAGCGGGGCTTAGTTCGTAGTACGTCGTAGCGTCGTAGCGAGCGGGCGCCATGAAGACGGTCTGCGAGCGACTGACGAGAGCTGCGCGCGACTACCTCCTCCATTCACATTTCTAACCCTGCTTTGATATTTTCAAGACAAAAGTGGCATTTGCAAAGTACTTTTAGACAAGATAATTACATTATAAGCTCTTCAATCCCTCGCCAGAATAAAGATATGGTTTAACTTTTCTAAATTAATTTTATTAAAAATAAAAGCGAGGAGAAATTTCTTAAAATTAAATAGAACTAAGAACTTTCTTAGATTTACGCGAATATTTGACATTTTAAATAAAACTATCTTTTCGGATTTTTTCTCGGATTTATTTCGAAATCACCCTAGAATGATTCGAGAATCCATAGAAATTAAAAAACATCCAAATTTCAATAGGGAAGTACTGGGTACTACCATCGTCATGGGATCCTATTATCTATACCTACATATAATAAAATCGTAACTAAGCCGAATCTGTACATTAAATATTTTTTGGGAAATCTTATTGAAATAGACATTATTATCGATACAGAGGCCGAATCTATAGTTTTTAAAATTTTTGTCTGTCTGTCAGTCTGTTACCGCATCACGGAAAAACCACTGGAGGGATTTTGATGAAATTTCGTATGATGGTAGCTGGTTATTCGGGTCAACATATAGGATACTCTTTACCGCGGGAAAATATCTCATTTAAGAGAAAAAATACAAAAACTGCAATGTAAGAGTATACTAATATGTAAAACCTAAGAATTTTGTTTTTGGTCATCTGAACGCGGGCGGAGCCGCGGGCAATGCTAGTTAATATTATAAAATCAAATAATAAATCTAAACATAAAAGACAGGTAGATTTAATTTGTTCTTACTGTGTGGATCAAAATGATAGCATATCAGATTAATATTTTTTATTTTTCATTTTTCATTTGTAAAAGTATATAGTAATAGTGTTGCATAGTAATTTGTCTTTTCAAATATATATTATATATAATAATAGCAAACTGAATTAAAAATATTGTCCTTAATTAATTTTAACTTTTTAAATTACACATAGAACAATTATATGGCTTAAATAATTAATACTATATTTTATATTTTTCTCTATGGTTATAAATATAATAATGGCAACACTAAATATAGATTACTAATTATTATTTTTAAAATTGTAGTAATTATAATAATAACAGCAAAAATTAAATTAATGATATTCTATATTCAATTATAAAACTAATTAAAATTATAAAAACGTTAAAAAGTTAAAAAATAGGGTAAGGTAATTGATGCAATTTTCATTTTGTTATTTGTGGGTAGGCTGTCTGTAACAACTATACCTTCGAGACATCTATCACCTCAGTCTCTCCCGTGACCATGAATGCTGTAAAGCATTCGAAACGTCGGGAATCAAAAATCAAAATAAATCCGCGAAAAAATCCGAAAAGATAGTTTTATTTAGAACTAAGAATTTCTTTCCAATAAGATAAAAGAATACCATTATAAATACTTTTTTTACATGTATTTACAAAGTTCCTGTTAGAATAATTTAAGCAAACTTGGTCAAATAATGTAAGCTCGTTAAGATACGATTCTTTTAATATTGGTAGGATGTCTTTTGTAAAAGCAAAGTTTCAAATAACCATTAAAAGTCAGGTAGGTAAATTAAATGCCTGATTTCATCGCATAAGCTTCAAATGTCCGTGATTGGCAAACGCCCGATTGTCAATAGTGGTCCGTAGCGTTAGCAAGCATTTCTCCGTACATTTGAAAGCGCAATCGAGCAACTTATAGTGACCTAATGCCTCTTTAAATAAAGTTTGCCGCACACTAACGATTGAAAAACACGGTTAAATACTCTGCTGCCTAATAAATTGTCATTAAATTTTGTTAAAATACTATTGGTGACATCTATGTAAAGTTATATAATATCTCGTAGTAAATAAAATGTTATTATTTTTTTATTTAATTTCAGAATGATTTAAAACTTTTTATAGTGTTTTACGGAAAGAAAAAGGCATATTATGGCAAAAAGAAAAAGTCTGCCAGTTGTTAACAGGGCTTGTTTCGTCGTATAAATAGTAGTCACAATTCAAAATTATAAAAAGTTTACTTATTTGCTAATAATTATAGCTCTCATAAAATTAGAAATAATCTATTAATGCTATACACGCAGCAGTGGATCTCTAAATGCCAACAAAATAAAACTCTACTTAAATATCCAATCGCAAACTTTTTTTACATAATAGGTCCAGAGAAAACAGGCCAGACAAACAAACACATGACATCTTAGGTTTTCCATCAGATAGAAAATTAATAATATAACAAAGAATTTGTAATCAGACGACCTCCGTACATAAAGACTAAATTCCCCGTACTTCACACTCCTATTAAAGAGAGTAAATAGACTTGACTACGTGTTTTAAACTAACTCATATAAACATATAAAATAATTCCAATAATTACATTCAACATGTTTAAATGACGCTACCACCAACTTGCAATTCAATCAATTAATCATAATATATTAAAAACACAAAACAAAATAATTAATTATATAGGTAGGGATATACACAGTAAACAAATTATGTACTCGTAAAAACTCAGTATAAGTAACGTGTTTATTTACTCGTCCATTTATATAAACATAAATAAAATATTATTCAATTTCATTCAATACTAAATTAATAATATAAATTGTGTTATACTAAAAATAATAGGTTCAGAAATATATTAGAATTGAAAATGTTAATACATTGTAGTGTTTACTATAGGCAAATGTATAGAATTACCTGATATAAATATGTACTTCAGAATATTTGTTTTAAATGTTGGGTTACCAAAGCTATACACAATAATACAAACAGATTACATTACCGACATTAATTATATGTTAGCAAGCTATCCTATAATTTCCACCGATGAACGTATTTAAACAAGTAATCCAAGCTTGACTATAGCATCGGATTTCAATTTAAAATCCATTAGGTGTCGCCACATTAGACCGCATGTATTTTTTCAATTCTATTTAAAATTATCTCTTATATTTTCAAAGAGTGGTATACTAAAAGCCACTCAACGTGTACTATTAATATGTCGATAATTAAAACCAAATTAATGTCCAAAACAAAATTTTTATGTGCTCCTAATTTATTTCAAAATATATCAGAAATTACATTAAAACTTTGAATAATACTATAATTCGACGTCTCAGACCATTTAGGTTTTGGCCTACCACTTCTTAGCCATTCCATGACAAGTGTTATGTCTTGGTCTTTCTCTCTCTCTCGCATCTCTTCATCGCATCATCACTCCAACGTACATCTATCGAGTCTATTCTTTAGTTCTGTCGTCTGTTCGTTCCAACTAATCTCCGAAACGGCTAGACCCATTTTGACGGAACTGTCAGATATTGACAAATAGCTGATATAATAAGTAGTGACTAAAGATACTTTTATTTACATTAAAAAAAGAATTAGAGTTCCGGGCAAAAAAGTTAAGATCCATGAAACTGTGAACAAAGTCTTATTCATATACTGCTGTAATAAAATATATAATATATGTTGATCATACTGTTTTATATCTTTTACGAACTTTTTTTACTAAAGAAAATTGAAAGTATTTTTTTATTTACCCTAATAACTAGTAATTTACCGAGTCTTTACTGCCAACTAACACTTCCAAAAACTAATGTACCCATAATCCTTTCATGAAAGCGTTGAGCTTACGTGTTTTAATTAGAACTGCAACAGTGCATGATTTTCAATCCCAAGAGATTCTTATAGGATTATCCTTGAGCCAAAAGGATAGCACGGAACTAAATTATTCAGAGCAAGTTTAATTATGCATTAATGATTTGTTTGATGAAAGGTTTTAAAGAAACATCTACTTACTTTCGGCTTTGAAGTAAAATGAAAGATCAAATTACAGGCACAAAAAATATTGGCTTTTCTGTATCCCGAATTATTTTATGTATTTTTTTACTTATATATTATACTTTGCATTATAACCGATTGCATGCTAAATTATATTAAATTTGGCTCGGATGCAATACTTCCTACAACATAATGAAAAATTCACTAATTTCCAACGAATTACTATAGAGAAACCTACCGAGAAGATAAACATAATTTAATATTTGTAGCATCCTATTATTCAATAATAATTATGATGTTTGATATCAAAGTTCATTGACTCATTTCCAAGTAGAAGTAACAAAGCTTCTATACAATGTCTATGTGGTACGCCGCAAACATACCTTATCTATTCACAATAAGCAGCGAGACTAATGTTAACCAGTTCTGTAGACCGTAGTATGAGTTTTAATGAAATTCGAATTCGAGAACAAATTACGAAATCCAGATTCTTTACTTTGCAAGAATTTGAAAGAAGTTTTTTTTTATACTAGATAGTATTTAAAAAAAAACTATCTTATCAGGATTATATTATTGATGATGGACACCCTCTTCTCTCCTGTGACCATAATTGCTATAATTCGTTTGAAACGTTGTGAATCAAAGATTAAAATACACCCGCGAATAATCCGAAAAGATACTTTTAAAGATACTTTGACCTTGAAGACATTCAGTATACCAAATTTTTATCTTTATTATAAGCAAGGATAAAGTAATTAAGCAGAAGCAAATTTCGTTTGCTCCATTCTATTACTCATTTAATGCTACAATTTTCCTTTTTGTTAGTAAAAACCGCGGAGCTTGAAACATCCTATTTTATATTTTCTGCTAATACTTTCATTATTATGAATATTAAATTAATATTCAAATTGTGGTAATTTTTTCAACTAAGGACATTTCAAAAATAAATTTCTTATATAACCACATTACATGCTTGAGGCTAAGCT